AAAAAATGGATGACTGCATGCCCCCTAAGAGGTAATGGAAGTTCCACAAATCCAAAGACCTTCACAGGCTTATTTCGAGAATCAAATGATATTGCATGTATAAATGTGTGAAAAAAATTATAAATTTCTATTCACATTATATATTCTGCCCTAAGAAACTTTCTATTTCTGTTAAGCAAACCAACCTGCAATCACTTTCTTCCCCTTCTTCATTTATAGGCCATTCTCTCCAACAGGAATAATCCCTATTCTCATGCTCCCTATACCCTTCAAATCTTTGTTTCCAAAACCTCACTCCAGAAGCACTTCACTGTAATCACTCGGGATTAACTCTAATCACTACAGAAACCCCTCTCTCCACTCGCATTTCTCGTTCTTCACATTGCTCTGAAATCTCAGCACCCATGTACTTCTTGCTACACAGTCACAGGGGTATGTGTGTCTGCACATGACTGCATGAGGGTGTAGCATTTTTTTATTGTGGCAAAATACAGAGGGTGCCAAAAAAAATGCATATACATTTTAAGAAAGGAAAATTGTATTAAAATTGTAATACTCAATATACACCAATAACAAAGGATAACTACAAATCATGTTTGGCTTCTGCAATTACGAGAGGTGCTCAAAGTGGTTACCATCAGCATCCAGACACTTCTGATTATGGCGAACTACTGCTTGAGCAACATTGACCAAAGTGTCCACTTGTATACATTTTTTTTGGCACCCCCGTTATACATAACATAAAACTTACCCCTGTAACCATTTTTAAGGGTACAATTCAGTAGCATGAAGGACGTTCACAATACTGTGCAACCATCACCACTATCCATTTCCAGAACTTCCCCATCACCCCATACAGAAACTCTATTGACTAAATAATAACTTGCCATTTCCCACTCCCCCAACCACTGCTTACCTCTATTCTACCTTCTACCTCTATGAATTTGCCTATTCTATGTACCTCATATAAGTGGAATCATATATTACTCACCCTTTTGTATATTTCACATAGCATAATGTCCTCATCTATGTTGTAGTCTGTATCAGAATTTTATTCCTTTTTAAGGCTGAATAATATCCCACTGTATGTATATACCACATGTAATTTAACGAGCATTTTTTACATCTATAACCATGCTTGTCATGTCTTCACATTTGGATTATAAATTTTTTAAGAATAGTATTTTAGGATCATATAATGGTAGACCATAAAAAGGCTTAAGAAGGGCCTTTAGTCCAACCCCTCATCTTATGAATGAAGAACCAGACACCTGGATGGCTTAAGCAACGTATCAAACCTCACAGCTGCCCAAGCTTCAATTCCTCACCACCCAGCAGAGTGGTCATGAGACAAATGTCTGTGAGTGATCCCACTTTTATGAATTCGTTTTGAAAGCCAATACTTACCTGCACTGATGTATCTGGTTTAAAAGTTTTATTAGGCAATCTGGTGCTTGCTTTGCATATTTTGAATAAAGTGCACTCCTTCTGTACCTGAGCTGACATAACAACAATAACAAAATAATCACATTTGGGTTAACCATAACTACATAAACTGGGTGCAGGCTTTGTATTAAAAACTGTTGACAGCACATAATATTTATAGCAAACATTACTGCTAAAGACTTGTGGTAAGGCGCCATGCTACACACCTTCCGTGTATCCCCTCAGGGTCAATACCAATAAAGAACAATAAGCTAAAACAGAAAAACTTTCACTAATACTATTGATACACATATTGACTATCATGTACAAATTTCCATTATAAACTAGCTTACATTGGTATTGCAGGAAATCAGATTTTGGAGATATTCCAAGTTAGTTAAATGAATGTATGTTAAGATATTTCTCTCAAATGTGCTATTAAGTAACTCTAGGGATATACAAATAATAGGACAAAAAATGAGAGGACTGAAATGGTTCTTAAGTTCACCTGGCAGATAAGGTTTGGGGACAGCCTATATGTGCCACCACAAAGATTTGTCACCACTCTGGTGACCACCCACCCACGGCCTAACTCCATCTTTGTCCCCGCTGCCTCTCTTATCTGCGTCTATCATTGTGACCAAATCATTGTTTCCTGGTAGTTCATGTGTTTAGCAAGGCTATCAGTGAAACCAAACCATGAGTCTGATTTCCATATAGGTCCACCTGGTCCCACTGTAGCAAAGGGACATGGAATAGCTGTCTTATAAATACAAACCACAACTCACAAAGGCTCTAAAATCAATGACCACAGCTAAGACAAACAGCCCTCTCCAAAAAGACTCAGGAACATTTTCACACACACAAAAAGTAACAACGGTATTAATGAATAATATGAACCTCTCACTTTAAACTCATAACGAACTAGCTTTTCATCATTTGTGCACCATTACCTCATATTTTCTTTTCAGTTCTCTAGTGAAGTTTTCAAAGGTTGTGATCACAGCAGAACTATTCACGTTCTCTGGCACAACTGCCAGGGATGGAGTAGAACGGCCTGCTGAGCAACAAAAATAGAATATTAAGGAAAACTAAGAAAGTGCTTGAGGCAGGTGTGCTCAGTTCATCAGCTGCCCAGAGCATGGACAGTCAGGTGGAAGAACAGAACCGATCCACAAAGCCCCATGGCTGCCTGGCTGTGACTGCAGCAGGGCTGACTCTGGCAGCAGCCACCAAGGCCACCTCAAGCCAAGAGTCCTTACTACAGGCACTGCATGCTGCTCCCCATCTAAACTCACTCTCTGGTAAGTGCCCACTTCATCCAAACTCTGCCAGCACTTTATATCAGAGCAACCAATACTATGTCTGAGAAGCAGGCTGAAGTGTTGGAAGAGGTTTTAAGTAAGACATGATGGGCGCGGTGCTTCTATGGGGGCAATGCTGGCATAACAGCTTCTGGATGCTAGAAGTTTTATGAGGGTCACTGAGGGGTCTGGCACCGTTCTAAGGGATTTGCATGTGTCCACTCATTGGATCCTCACAAAGACCATGTGAAGTAGGCCCTGTTGTTGTCCACATTTAAGAGAGAGATCAAATAACATGTGTAAGCTCACACCAACTGCTTCAGGATTGGAACGCAGGTTGCCTGGTTCTTAACCACTATGCTCTAGTACCTCTGGACTTCCAAATTTATCTTCCTAGACCTTTTTGTTTCAACATAGAGTGGCATCACTCACCCAGAAGGCCAATCCCACACACGCAGACATTGCAGATCATTCTCCTTCGCTGGTAGACAGTGGATATTTCCAACACAAAATGTTAGTTAATAACCATTAACTAACACATAGGCCTGAAAGTTTAGGAATGCTTAGGGCATGAAAATTGCCATAAAGAGTTAAGAGGCAGAAATCTAACGGCTAGAAGATGTGCTTGCTGTCATGTGTAATTTGTGCAGCAATTTACTTGTCTCTGAAAGGACAGAATGCTTAGTTTTTAGGTTTTGCAGCTGCTTTGATCTTCAAACTGTAACAATTGTTGGCACATTCAGTGCTTACAATTGTCACACTCTTGCTTGACAGGTTGGCTGGGTGCAGAATGTTACCTGCCAAGTCTGTTTCTTCTGTCACCGAGGAAAGGGGTCCTAGAGGATCATCTTCTTCCAATTTTGACTGTTTCCACTTAGCAAAACTACCATCTGATAGGTCTAAAGGCAAGCACAGCCATTAATAACAACACACACATTTCTTTTTGTCCCAAGTTTATCTTGTCCTCTTTTCGCCAGTTATAATAATATCTAACCTTGATGAGCTGCAAGTGAAAGCTGTTCCCTACTTGTTGCTAATTACTTATCATTAGGCACATGGGACAAGTATCAAAGCACTGAGTCTACCGATGCCCGAAAGAAGATTCAGGGGAACAGGCCTCCCTTTGATGAGCTCTGTAACTTTTAAGAACAGTCTGCTCAGCAAGATACAGACTGACTCTAAGAAAAGGCAGTGATGGTTGGCATCAGGAACACTTCCAGAGCTCCAGGCTAAATGGGCAAGGTAGCAGAGTTTCCAGGCAAGGGGGCCTTCGGAAGCTCACGGATGGCCCCGCAGCGTGTGCCACCTGCTGGTAACCCTGGAGCTTCAGGGTTGTACTGAGGGCTACTGTACAAATGAGATCATTTTGGCTCCTCGGTAGCTCAAGTGACTTAAGAGAGCCTCAGCTTATAAGATTTAAATACAGATTCTCTTCTCAATGTGGCATTGACTAAATATGCTCTATTCTGATATTCACTTTCACCCCAAACATGTCCTCACTTCATCCTTCCAATCTTATCAAACTGGCACCACCATTGTCAACAGAGTATGAGCTTTCGGCCTGACTCCTACTTTTCTTTACCATCTACTTCTCTTCCATCACCACAGCCTGAGGTCCTGCCTATAGAATGAATCCACACCTCTTTCTGCACTCCTATGCCATGACCCTGACCACCATGACCCTGGACTATCTCATCAATACCATGCCTTCAACTGTCATCTCCCAAATCTCTCTTGCCTTAGCTCACTTAAGCTGCAAACTTGAATTTCCAACCACCTACTCAAGATCTCCATCTCAAACCCATTCTTTCTATTCCACCCCCACCCCCCAAAGTTCTATTTGTTCCCGAACATACATTTAGTCCCTAAACACATGTGCAGCTGTGGAGTCATCTGGCTTTTCCCCCTCTCCTCACATATCCAGCTAGTCACTATTGATTTTCCCTCTGAAAGTTCTGGAATCTAATTTCATTAATTCACTTAATAAATATTTGAATGCTACTATGTGCAAGGAGTTGTGCACTATGTTGGCAAGACAGTGGAGAAGCAAAAAAGAAACTTTCTCCTCCTCCACTCTGCTCTTCTACCCCAGTCTCTGCGGTTCCTCCGACCCCCAGGGAGACTCTCACCTAATGGCCTTTGTGCTTGCTGCTCCTCTGACCTGAGTCTGCACTAAGGCTTTCTCTGGCCATCCGACCTAAAATTTCAATACAACCACCCCTTTTTAGGTTGACTTCCCAGGTTAATTGTTCTTAGCCTTCATCACAATACAACATACTACATGTTTTACTTTTCTTCCCCAGTAGAAGGGAAGCTCCAATGAGGCAGCCATGTTGTCTGTTTTGTTCTCTATAATATCTAACATGTAGAAAGTGCCTTACACATAGTAGACATTCATTGAATGAATGAATGAATGATGAATGAATGAATGTTGCAGAATATCCAAGCTTCTATGAAATAAGATATAAGATATATCCTAAAGAGGATCTTGGTAAAATAGATAAGAATTTATTCCAATTAGCTTACACTAGCAGGGAAAGGTGAGACAGAGGACTATCAAAAACTTTAGAGACCCAAATACCTACTACATGGATAAAAAACAGAAATTAATAAAGTTTAGCATTTTAAAATCTGCTAAATCTACCTTTTGGGAGAAACTATAAATATACGAATTTTCAGAAATAACACAATAGTAAGAAATACCAGTTGTAAACTTCAAAGTGATAAAAGAAAAAGAATTGTACCATTAAAATTATGCAAAATAGACAACAGTCGATGTTAAAATACTTCATGCTCTGTGGTAAAATAGAAGATACATTTTTAAGAAAAATGAATAACCTAGGTTTAAATGTCAAATTAAGTGATTTCCTTTCAAAAGGAAAAAAGGAAATAACAAAACAAGAGATGTAATAAATACCTAATTGAGAGAAAAGTATAATCCAAAAGCAGAAAGGACTAAATTAATGCCAGGTACATAAATAAAATGATCATATAAGAATAATGAACTTGATGAGATGCCTCAGTTGATTTGCTGTGATAGAATTTCATAAACTGAAAATCTCATTCGAGATCACATTCCCACTCTGAAGAACTTGGAAAAATTAATTGCCTATATGTGGCCTCTCTGGAAAAAATAAAATGAAAAGCATAAGAAATACTCTCAACTTTGAGAGGTAACTTACAGGAGCCACTATCTCTTTCTTCCCATCATTCTTAGATTTAGGTATATTCACTTGTTTGAAAAGTATAGATGGACATTTTCTAGGGGGTTGCATTGTTGCAAAGATAAATGATTTTCAAATATCAAGGAAAGCATCCAGGTTCAGCACTGTTCCCTTCAAGCCTCAAAACAAACAGCACTCATGCTTGACTCTCACATGGTGTCTACATCCCATCAAGGCTCAGAGAAACCACTCAGAAAGGATTCCAGCTACCCCCAACTAGGTCCCAACAAACCACTACAACATTTCTTTCCTTGATGCCTGTTCTGCCCCATCTGGAATTTTTTCTCTCTTCTGACAACGTATTTGTAGCAACAGCTCAAGGCATGGCCCTGAATTTCAATTTATCATGTTCATGCACCACCCGTGGTAAAGCGTGATGTCTGCTGGCACAGAAAATAGTTACATGCCTTGGGGAGAGGAATCCAGGAACACTGTGTGAGGGGCTTGGAATTTGTGAACCTACTAACAAGGAATCATCTAGAAGGACCACGTCAGGGACATGGCAATAGTTTGGCCACAGAATTCATCTTGAGGGTGCAATCTTTAAAGTATTTTACCTATAACAGAGGAACGGCTCTGCAGAGAGAACAGGCTCCTCTAGAGAAACCCGTGCATATGTTCAAGTCTGCAGGTCCTAAGTGACGCAGTTGGCTCAGTTTTGTTTCCATGGTAACCATATGCCTCTTTTAACTGGGACTTTTTGACATTCTCTTAAAGGGGTTAAAATTACACACATAAAGCACCTCAAATACACACACCAAAAAAAAAGAAAACAAAGAAAAATAAAAAATAAACAAACAGTAAACAAACCCTGGCTAAAACGAAAGTGATCTCAAATGAATGCCAATTCCATTTGTTTGTTGGTGGCAGGCAGAAGGGGTGTGCTCTTGCTTTTGAACACAGCTTTGTTCGTTTGCATGAACATTGAAGACTGTTGAAATCTGAGGAGCTTCTGAATTTATATTGGGTGGCCTACTGGGCACAGGTTGTAGTGACCATATTTTAGTGTCCATACGGATGTATTAATACTTCTGAAAAAAACAATTTTTAGTGCTACACATAACCAACCCCATGGTTAACAGCCAAGTTCTCCTAAGTTAAGGCATTTTGAAAATCTTACTCTGAAGTGACACCCTGTGGCCTAGAATGATAACGGCCAACAACTTTCACTGGGCAGCCAAGAATAGTCTTCTCTAAAATATCCTCCCTGGGGAGGCACTTTCCCAATGCCAATTCCTTTCTTAATTCTACCAATGTTTAGCATGCTGAGAATATGAAAAATTAAAGACAATCTCAATTCTGGAATTGCTCAGTCTAATGGGGACTACTGAAATATCTTTTGCATGGATTAAAGTATTTTAAAATCTGTAAATCAATTGATAATAAATACTTACTTGTGACTATGTAGGAACGACTATTCAATGATGGAATTATGCAGAGGTTAATCATTAAATGCTAGGATTTTTTTAAGATTCTTATTCTGGTCCCTTGGCAAATACTTATTATTCAATATGCGTCTATATACCAGGCACTGCACTAGGCATTCATAGCATTGAATGGAACAAAGAAGCTGTCTTCCTGACTCCTTCCCAATGCTGGAGGGATGTCCAAGAAGGTAGATGAGGGCAAAATGCAAAATCATGAGTAAAATTATCCTGTTTGCTTACAGTTCTGGAAGCATGGCATATCAAAGGCCCTACGGTAAACATTAAAACATCAGTTGATGAGCAAAATGGCAAAACAGAAATTTTCTGCTGTCTCCACCCACCCCCCAAAAGAATACCTACTTTGAAAATCACCTATAGACAAAAGTGCCTTTGCGGAAGGAAGTCTTGGAATCCTGTGGGGAAGGAAGTTAGTTCTAGCACCTTGTTGGACTTTAAAAAAAAACAACTACCACCAAGATTGGACATATTGAAGAGGGTAACAAGAGAGCTCTGTAGCCTGTGATTTCTCTCATGGGAGAAAGTTTGAGGGAGTGCTCAGTTTCCCCAGCTGTGTGGGGCACTGCCAAAGAGAACCACTTCTTTTGGGCCCCATCCAGGATAATGAGGTATGCTACATGACTGGCGGTGGGGACGGGCTAGGAGAATAGCATCCAGGGCTCTTGGAGAGCATCAAAGGGCTGCAGATCCTACTAACCACTTCATAGGCTCCATTGAAAAGTCTGACCATGAACCACCGGGGATGCCTCACCTACGGAACCCCCAACTGGCCTATGGTCTCCACAAACACTCCACATGCTTCACCCACACACATACCCTGCCTTCCTGTGGTTGGCTCACTTTGCACACTCCCCCCTCACCACTCTGAGGGCACTGACTGACAGCATTTGTAGAAAGCCAGGCCAATCCTGCAGGATTGGGAAGAAGCACGAAAGCTTGAGCAGTAGCACTACTCTAGGGAAAGCTACAGGAGGCTGTCAGCACCTGGCCTCGCTTTGTAAGATCAAGAGAAAACAAGCAATCTTAAGAAGTCCCCCACATAGAAGTTTACTGGGGTTATGTCCTCTTGTTGGATCGATCCCTTTATTATTATGAAGTGCCCTTCTTTGTCCTTTATTATGTTTTTCAATTTAAAGTCCATTTTATCTGATATAAGTATCGCTACTCCAGCTTTTTTCTCAGTTCCATTTGCATGAAATATTTTACTCCATCCCTTTACTTTCAGCCTGT